TCAAAGGATAGCCATCATTACCTTTAGCTTTCAAAAATCCTTTTGTCCCCTCAGTTCAAAGGCAGGGCCAGTTAAGCAAAAAGAGAACTGTGTGAAAATCTGCCTTTAACCAAGTGCTTCTGTTCAATGCACACGAGACTGTAGGAAATTCGACACCGTAGTTGTTTAAGTATAAGGTTTCAAAAAACCAGAGTTTAAAACACGTTGGCAGAACCAGGATCCTGCTGTTTTGGCACCAACTGGGATCCACAGGTCCACATCCTACAAAAGATAATCTTACGAGGCACTCTTGCCCCAAATGCCACCTAACCATCAGGCATTAACACGAGTTTTGCTCCTGAGCTTTTGCACTCTGTGAGCTAACGATAATATTTTTGATACATATCTTTAACACCTCTGGTTTTGGCAGAAGCCTCCGCAGTTGATTACTGTTTGATGACCATCATGTGACACTCCTTTAAAAAGACGTCACCTATTCCCCAGTTCCAGGAAAAACATCTTCCACTGCAGGTAGCTACTTCTATGCTCGTTCTGCACTTTGTCGGACTGCCTTTGATATGTCGGCGTGTCCTGCTTTTAAGGCCTAGTTTTAAGAAGATCAACGTGCAGGTTTACTATTTTTGGTCTTTGCAAAGAACAGCACTCTAGTGATCTAAACGTATGAATTTTCCACATGCATATGCTGTAAAACCTTATAAAGGGGTTAAATCAAGTCATTGTTGGAAAAAAAATTACTTAACGTATATACAGTTCAGTTCCAGAAAGGAAAAGCACTGCAGGACTCTTATCTGTAAGTTCCAGTCATGCCAAGGTTTGCTATCACGGTAGTGCTAAAAGTAGACCTTCTTCGAGCTGCAGTGCTAACCTAAACTATGTCAGCATAAGCACATTTAAACCAGATGACTACGTGCCATGGTTTACACCTTTAATTTATAAGCAATTAAGATCATAATACTTAATTCTGCAGCACAGGCAAAACCCATTCCAGACCAAGCGTATCCCTGGAAGCGAATGTGCTTCTTGTGGGTGCAGCCTAGGGCTGGCTGGCGTACAGCAATCCCCGTGGCCTTAGTGCTAGTACTACAGAGACACCCCCCCGCAGTTTAGCACTCTAGACAAACCGCTGCGAGCATTATTAGGGTGATTTTTTTTTTTTTAATCAGTCAGTACTCACTTCCTCAGAGACCACAGCCAGTTTAAACGAGGTTTTGTAGTGAACCCCCCAGAAAGCCTGCACTCTCCTGTAAAGGGCAAGAGGCTGCCGCTCGCGATGCAGAAAACCCCCCAGCTGTCCTATGTTGGTTTTAGACACCTCCAGATCAGCCTTTGGAAATTTTCTGTCTGCTTTCTAGCAGACAGACGGCGTTTCTTGTTTTCTCTAAAACAAGATCAAGGTCTGTGTTCGCAGGGAGAGGGCTGGGAAGGGGAAGTCATTCCCTTAGACCTGAATCTGTCCCTGTAGGCCATGCCACTGTGGTACAGACCGCATTTCTATCCTCCGTAACTTGCAACTTAAACGCAGTGCTGTGCTTCTGTTTTCCAAAGAGTATGCCCCAAAAAAAGCTTCAGTCGTAAGACTGAAGGTAAGGCGTTAGAACTGACTCCTTCAGCAGGTCACTGAACCACGAGCAGTTACGAGAAGGAAACGAATCTCCAAGTCGAACCAAAATAGAGAACCCAAGAGGGACGTGGCCAGAACACATCCTGTTTTCAGACCATCCTGCATGCCTCTCCTTCCACCGAAACCCATTTTTAACGTAAACCGTGACTGAAGCCTTCCTCAAGCAGCAGAGGCTCCTTGCAGGAAGGACGTTCAGGCAGGGAAAGCTGGGAGGAAGCGCTGAAGCAGGGTGGCACTTCACAAGTTCTGTTTGTCTGGTGGTGGTGCTTCATATGGTGCGAAGGAAAACCTAACTCTCTTTCAGACCCTGAACCGACACCCCTAACAGATTCTCCCTCTTCCCCTCTACTCGCAGACGAGTAACAGAACTTTGAGCAAGGCTGAAAGAAACAGCTCGGGCTGACGCACTGATTCTGCGCGGGGTTTGTGCTCTGGGCTGCACGGGTCAGCGCGCAGAGGGAAGTGCGAGTCGGGGCCTCCCGCGCTGAATTCCCCACGACACGACGAGAAACTCTTCCAGAACACCTCCCTCTGCCAGCTGGCCCCGCTCCGGCCCGGCGGGGCAAGGTGCGGCCACGGCAGCGCGGCGTTACAGGGCGACGGAGG